TGTCCAGATTCCCCTAACAAACACCCAAGCAGGCCTCTCTTGTGTTGTCGCAAGTACAAGCTTGAGTCTTTGCATTTTGCCAATCAGGCTGTGGGAGACTCCTGTCCTCACTGTCAGGCGCCTATCCAACTGTATCATGTTTCGAGCCTAAATGTTCCTTTGGGACTGAATCCTTTTTGTTTTCAGAGGGTCCATTATCTGCCTCCCCCCCACCACCACCCAATCTGGATGAATGGTTAGAATATTTTGGCATTCCTCAGGAACCAGATGATGATCCCTTTCCCCGTTATGTTCTTCCTCCCGCACTGCCTGGTTGGGCTGAATATATGAGCCAATTTTAACTACATATACCCTTTGGGTAACGTAACTCTTCACAGTTAACCCACGAAACATTTGCTCCTACCTTGCATGTTGATGGTTTCCATCATCTTGTTAAGCGTTGCCCAAACCAATATTATACACAAAAATTTGAAAACACAACATGAAAATAAAAATGCTCACAATACAAAAAAAAATACAAAACAAAAAAAATTAAAACACAATCCACATTAATCCGCCTTGCTTTTCAACCTGTGGTGTTGGAATCATTGTTATATGCAGTTATTGTAAGTATTCCTTTTTCATGGCACCGATTTGTTAAACAATAAAAATGGAAGCAACGAAAAATATTCGCAGTGCGCATGTTTTTGACTTAAAATTATTAAAGGAATTTTATTTGGTGTTTAGGATTTATTGCAAATTTCATTCGTTAGGTGAAGGGAAATATTATAACAAACAATTTGACTTGTACTAGGTGTTCAACTACTACGCATCAGCACTGATCAAATGACATCCTCTCCCAAAATGAGAAAATGATTTCTGTTGATTCATTCTCCTTGGTCTTGTTGAAGAAAGTTGATTGAAGAGTTACATTAGCCACTTGTCGCATTTGCTAAGATAAAGCTTTGTAGATGAGTTCTTGCAAGTGTTCCTGTTATTTAATCCTAGTAAGTTACTTTCGCTAATCATAGTTTTGGCTTATAATTTTAAATGATGATTGATAGAAAGTTTCTCCAGACATGAATTCAGTGTGAGACAAGTGTCCCATTTGGTACGCCTCTACAGTAATACAAATATGTTTAATTTAAGTTCCCCAAAAGGAACAAAGCCTTATTTCCACTAAGAATTACACAATTTGACATTTTGTCCTCAACTTCACCTTTTATCAGTCTTTTCCTGCTGGTAGCGTCTTCATTTTTAACCATTGTTAGAGTTATTTTCTTGCACTCTCAACCGAATTCATGTCAGTCGATAGTTTCTACATAAAATAAAATATATTCAAATTAAAAAGGGCGAGATATCTCCTATTTTTGTAGGTCCTACTGAGTAAACATCTATTGTTATAATTTCTACTTTTGACCACGTACTGTATTTCTAAATAGGATGCTCGATTTTGCGAACACATCATCAGTTAATTTATGGAAACGTTTAACCAATCATTTTTTGACAAGAAGCTTCACACCTCTTGTAAATCGACAACAAGCCAGGATTTTTAAGCTGTAATCTTAGTAATTTCTAATCTGTTGATATGAAAAGTTTGTATACGGGAAGCTACCTTGCAGTTTTTATATTGTTCTCCTAGTTTTGTATTGGCCAGTTGACTTACGCTTAATAGTGAAAACTTTGGTTGAGGAGTCATTTTGAAAAAGCAATTATCTCGAAGGTTTCATGCTAATGAGACTGTTTTAACCAATCGTCAGCATTCGGTTTGCACTAAGCAGCTGGTTTCCTGGCTGATATGAAAATGGGTGTAACACTGATTTAGAAGAGAATTGTAAAATAGGAGTTGAGCTACCTTCGTGACATTGGACTAAAGAATAAAAAGGAGTCAATTGAACAAAGTAATCCTCTGTTTGTTGTGAGAACCAGCTAGTTCCCCAGAAAGGTTCTTCAACAAGTATGAGTGTGACAGTCGTTGCTCAACGCAAACAACATCTGTATTTCGTATAAATCGCTCTTTCTCGTGGCAATTTATTGATTTGTTTTTAGGGTTGTTTTCTGGTTTTGGTCGATCTCTGAATTGGGAAGTAGATGACCCTGTCGAGTTTGTGCATATTTGTAATTATTTAATGATTTATGAGCACTTCGTCATTGACATGTTTCGCACAACTTTTCCGCAAAATTACTTTCGTGCGTTTCCAGAAAATCAATTCTGTGAAGTGTTGTTTGCTTTGAAAACATCCAGTTACCTTTTTCTAACTTGTAAAAAACCTTATGAATTTCGCGTCACACGACTATAAAGAAATTTTTATTTTTTGCAGACCTATTATTGGCTCCTAGTCCAGCTAATTTTCAGCAGTTTGTCAGCAATAGTTTAACTGACTTAGAGCAGAATTGACCGTTATGTCGCACCATTATAGTTTTTGTTATTGTGATGTTTTTGTACTTATAGGAACTATGGATCTTGATTGGCAACATATCCATCACATGGCAAAGTGGATTTGTATTTTCTGTTTTGAAATGAAGGGTTCCCTAGTATTTGAATGGACTGTTTTGCGATTTGATCATCTTGTTTGTATCAAATGCTTCAAGAACAACACAGACTTTCTGAAGACCATGCGCACTTGCCAGTGCGGAGCAACATTTCCAGAAAGTGCGTGCGCCTATATCATGATGCACACTCACACCAGAAAAATGGCAGCAGGAGAGATATTATAAACTCTTTTCTCTCCCTTTTTTTTCTATAGTACTTAATTGGCGTAAATTCCTAAAATAGTGTATCTGCTTTTCTCTCGTCCGCATCAAGGACGATGCTCAGCTTAGGCGGGGAGGAATGTTATGAGGTAGCTGCCTTTAGTTTTGTTTTTCAGTTTTGCTATTGTTAAGGTTTTGCTAGCTTCGTGATAGACAATTTATAGTACGAGGAGATTCTGTGCATTTCCCCACATGGATAGTTTCGGAGTTTTTGTCTAGTATTGTCCATTTGAAATGTTTGTTAAGCTTAGTTTTGGTTTTTTTGAAGTAGGCTTGTTCAGGGAGTACAGCTAACCCTGAGTTTTGCCCACAATTGAGTTCCTGTTTTGTATGCTTGGTCCTTCCGCGCAGTTTCACTGTTAGCATTTAACTGGTTCTTTGGTACTTGTCGGTTGCAGCTGTGTAGGCTGATCTAACAATAGCAAACCTGTTGCAATATAAGCGATAAGATATTCAATAGAAGCTCTCCCGGTCAGCTAACCCAAAATAAGTCTACAATTCCCTCCTACAATTTGAATACTTCATTTGCTGCCTTAGCTAGTAGAATGAGTAGAGTTGTTGTCAGTAGCCGTAGAAGATTAACCTGCTATCTTACGGAGAAAGAACAGAGTCTTGGTCCTCTCATTACAAAGCCTAGTGAGCTTTTCAAGCTCTCGACAGAAGTACCAAAAAATATGGGCATTCATCGCCAGTAACATCCAGACATCTCTTCCTTGGTTGTTCATGCTATGAAAATGTGGGAAACATCTGCCTATCAACCTATACTTCCTTTCACCAAATAAAGCTAATAGGTGCACCAGAAATACAAACGCATTCATTACCCGGACGAGAAATGCAGGTGGTATCATTTCATGATTCGTATCCAAAAGATCGTTAGCCTAGGCCAAAACAGACAGCAAAAACGAACAGTTCCCAACTACAAATGTTGGAGCAGGCAGCGGAGTATCCATAGCTAACAAAGCTAGTCGCTGAATGAAAGTGGTTTCGTTTTGCACATAGATAAAAAATTGTGAGGAATTTTCAACATGTTAAAAGTTTCTGATATGCACCATGGCTTTCTTAATTAAGACTCACAGTGCCTGTAGACTAATATGCGCTAGACTGTTGTAACAAAACCCATAGCATAAGTTTTTCACAACCTTTTTTCCTGCAACATGCAGTTGCCATTCATGGAACTTCACTTCTCTCCATAGTTTTGAAAAAAATGCGATTGTGACAAGATTTGAAGTTAGCAAATGTAAATTTGTATTTTTTGTCCTGTTATTTGGCACCCTCGATTTTGGGTGAACATTGCACAACTGTATTGTTTTTGTTTTTGTCACACCCTCAACTCAGTGCATCGTGGTAACATCCCACCTCTCACTTGTTTTCGTCATTATTATTTGTTTCACACCCCATAAGTTCTCGCTCTTTTGGATGTTGTCGTCATTCAAGTCATGGGGAGCTTGATGTGGTAATGGATGATATTTCTGATGATAATATATTTTTAAGAGCAGCGCTCCACAGTACGCTTACAATGCCCTCGAACAGTTGTCAACCCCAACAAGAATCAAAGAACCAAGGTTCCCAAAAGAAGCACCTCAGAAAAAAAGTTGCTAATTGAAGGTACACGGCCATGGAAGACACAATGATCCTCCAGGCAGTAGAGAGATGTGGCCGCGAGTGGCACAGCGTTGCACAATTCAAGACAAATCGCGCTGAAGTTCTTGGAGAAACAGGAGATGTGTACAAAGATATCACCATCAGTGACAAGAAGATGCACGAATGCCTGAGAAAGAGAGCAAACAAGCTGCTTCTAAATGAACAAATGGCGCAAAGCCAAAGGTAAGCTTGTTTACATGTTTGAAATGTAGTTCAGTCATTCTGACAGCAGCAAATAGTCCTTATCTCGCCCTTTCCTTTTCGTTTTTCTCTTTTGCTCGCTGTACGTTCAGCTGGTTTTCTTTTTTCTAGTACTGTTCCACAAGTGCTAGATCTTTTTGCTCTGCTGATTATAAAAGTAACCCTCTTTCTGGCCTTTTTCACCACTCATCATCTTTCACCTAGTTTCCGTTGTGACTTTCGCTGCTGCACAATATGTCTAACCCTTTGGTTGTTGTAGTTGAATTGGATGGCTTTCAACATGAGCTGCACGAGAGCCCAGAAGCCCTGCAACATTAGAAGAATTAGCCCTGTTAGCAGTACCCAACCAGGGAGAAACCGCCGGACACTTTCTACCGCCCTAGCACAGCGTGTGAATTGATTTGGAAAAGAGAGAATATGCCGAAATGAGAGAAAAGTACCGAAAGCAGCATGCAAAGAAATTCAGGTGTGTCATGAAGGAATTAAAGTATGTGGATGATTTGAATTGGACACGGAGATTGTTTCTCAGCCAAGTGCTGCTGCTGTTACAGTCAAACGTTTCTGTAGTTTTATAGAAAGACGCTAAAAAATATAATACTAAAAGATCTTGACTGGCCGCTGTTTCAGATTTTGTATTTTGCTAAAATAGTCGGATTTGTGTTGTAAAAGGGTAATTAACTAAAAAGAAGTTAAATTCTGTTTTGTTTTGTAGAGAAACCTTGATGCTAGTAGAGCGGTTGCCATATTTGGACTCATCTCTTTCTATATTTCGATTTTATATGTTTGTTGAAAGAAACATACTTATTGATGTGGATATGCTACGAGATTTAGATTTGCCGCTTTCCGTCAAAGTGGACTTTTTGAATTTTTCCTTTGCATTAGGATTACTGGAAATCTAAGGAATGTAGTCTCGCATGATTCTTAAAATGGTGTTAATCAACAAGTGAAAGTTACACGCAATAGTCATTCGGTTTTGTGTTTTATATCTTGTAGATGAATTTTTTTGGAAATCAGGCTTTTGCTGCAATGCCCGTTCAGTTTGTGGGCCTATAATGCAGAAAGATGCCGATGTGAATTTCGCCTTGGACTTTGCCGTTTACTAATCCAAGACTACTTGAAGTTTATGAACTATGAAGACTTTGACGTTCTTTCGACCTTTAGTGAATTTAATAGAACCTATCCAGATATTCCTGAAAACCATGTATTTATTGTAATGAACCACTGATTTTGATATGCATTTATATATTACTAGAAAAGTATTTGAACAGTTTGTCTACCGAGAAGAATGCCAGTATACAGGGTGGCTAAACACAGCTGATATGGAATAGATGAATTACATAGTGTTGGATTCTGGAATTATGTAAATGCAACAATTGAAAGTCAGTGGTTCATGAGAAAAATGTATATCGTTGTATTTTAAGTTATTTCAAGATTTCGTTGAATTGGGCAGAGAGCTCTAGGCGTCTCCACACCTCCCACTTTGTAAATAGGTTTAAAATAAAAAAAGAAGTAGACGGCAATTGCTTGTGAGATATTGACTGGAAAAAAGAGGGAAACAAATAAATGTGGAGGGTTTAAACCCAAAAAATATAGAAACCATTAACGTGAAACAAGATGGTGGGTTAATGAGGGAAAACAAAGGTTCTTAATCCCTGGAAGGAAACCAAGATGGGGGCTTCAACTTTGAATAGAAATCAAGATGGCCGCTTAATCACTGAATAGAAAGCAAAAGGTCACGTAATGAAAAAAGAAAAAAAGACTCAGAAAAAGAAGTAGAAGGAAAACACATGAAATAAATGATGAAAATGGTTAGAAAAATAAGTAGAAGGGAGAAACATGATGAAATAAATGCTTTAAAAACCAAAACGTGCACTCTATCATGGCAGTGACGTCAAACAAGATGGCGGGTTAATTACGTAAACAATACCAAGATGGCCGCTTTATTGCTTAAGCCAAAGACAGAGAAAATAAACGTGAGTTGAAGGAACAGATATAGCGCAAAAACGTGGGAAAAAAGTAAACGCGCAACGTTACATGTTTCACAAAGTCTTTAGGGAAAACAAAATGCGTCATACAACCTGCCTAGCTCAGCGAAATCAACTTCGATTGACGTCGATAGCCTACGCTTGGATGTGTTTGTATCCAAATGCAACTCAAAGGTCGAAACGCGTGTGCGCATTTATTTCTCTAAGTGAGTGATTAGTGTTCATGCAGTGCAAACAATTGTCAAGCGAGTGACAAGAACAAGCCTTGTTAGTGAGAGAATGGAAAACGTTAATCAAGCCATTGACAGTCAAATCGAAGGTAAGTAATCACTCTTAACTAAGAAAAGAGAACTTGTTTTAAAAGAAACGTTTAAGCGGATGGTGGTTGATATTATGTTATTTAGCCATACTGAACGAAGGCAATCAGGAATTGTTAGACATGAACGCTGTGGACAGGGAGATTGAAGGTAAGCCTCTTTTCCCGCGTAGATTCCCACGTAAATGATGTCCATAAGCCAAAGTAACCAGATATAGTCGGATATAGATATAGCTCAAAAAATTTTCTTCAGTTTGTTAGCGGAACATGTGATTCCATGCCTACCTTGCCACATCGTATGTCAGTATTGCCAAAGTGGTGACAGCATTTTTGCACCAACATGTTTTCTTGAATGGAAGCCGCCACACCATTTTCAGAATTATACAGCTTTTGATTTAGCTATTGAGAATATAGTTATTGAAGGTTACTTATTCACAACTGCATAATTCTTGATTTATAAAATAACACTACCTAAAGAAGATACAAAAAGACAATAAAACCCAAGTGTAGCCCACAGAGAAATGAGTAAGAAGTACAGCTGCACTTTCAATTCCCAAAATGTAGTGACAGGTTTTCGCATTTTCCATCGCATGGCGATCACTTCACAATTATTACCGCTTATCCCTATGAAAGTACATGTAATTTTCTACGTTCTTTTAAAAAATCATTTTTTTCTTGTTTAATCCCATGTTTTTTCTTTTACAGAAACAAAATCATCAAGAAGACTCTCCAGACAAAAGCGGTTCCTTAAAGAGCCACCAAAAATTAATAAAAGTTAGTCACACAATTCAGATTTAAACGTAAATGTTTTTATTTACAATGCAAAAACTATCTGCACTAATGAAAACAATTGACTTCTCGAAAACAAAACAAAAGTCAGTTAGGTTGCCTCATAAAATCCGTACGGAAAGGATTTGAATGTAATGGGATCCACTACATGTTTGTTGAGCACTAATACGTTTGTATAGTAAAGTTGTTGTGAGCATACTTGTTGATTGACTTTAGAAATTTCCAGCCTACTATTGAGAATGCATATAGGAGCGGTGTTAAAAGGAAAGATGTTTTTTCCAAGACCAATTCTTGCCAAGTTTCTTTACAGACCAGAGTGCATAGCAGCCATTAAGAAGAAAACAGATTTGAAGAACAAGGCTCGAATTTTAGAGGACTTAATTTAAGAATATCGCAAGAGTTGAAAGATTTATTTTGGTTGTAAGACCTCCATTTACAGCCGTTGACCTCAATGTAAGAAGTCTTAGCCAACACTTTCAGTATATGTGTAACTTTCTAGACTCCTCTGCCTTTTCTTTTCATGTGATGGACGTTCTGTTTCATGTTCTCCAGAGTATCTGAATTAGAAGTATTTTCGTCCATAGAAAGTCTAAATACTAAGAAATTCTTTGGAGCTTACAAGGTTCATCCTCTCTTAGCCTGTGGTTTTTCAGCTGTTCTGCCCCCCAAAAGCAAATAATTAATTAATCCATTTCCCAAGGTATTTTTCTTGATAGGATGAGAATAGCAAAAATTGTTCCCAAGCCTAATGTCTCTCTTGGGATAATTTAATAAGTAACATTTTTAAAAAATTTATTTTCAATCAAATTATGTTCTATTCATCCACTGAAGATATTCTTACTCCAAAGCAATATGGCTTCTGCCCTGCTAGTACCACTACCGACTGTCTATTAGATTTACTAGAAGAAACTACCACCACTCTTGGCAAGGGAGACACGGATAAGAAGTTGATCGCCTTTGTTGCCTCTGTGATGCTGATTGCTTTATTGAAGCAGATCAAATCAGGAGTCCCTGCAGGCCTCTTGAGTAGTCAAAGTGGTTCAAAAAGGGTTGAAGAATTGAAAAAGCAACTCGCCTTTATATATGCATCTGTGTGAATGTATGAAACATTCAACTGCACCGCATTATTATATAGCGGAAAGGCAAAAACCTGTTTTCACAAGTGTTTAGGTTTTGCAAACCAGGCAGTCCATGATACCAGTGGCAACCATAGGTAATTTATGGAAAAGTTAGGTCAATTATTTCCATGAAGCAGATGTAAAACACCTTCTGTGGATTGACTTCTCGCACCATCACTCTCCACATGGTAGAAGGAGCATCAACAAGCGTGTCTCTCACCCACTATCCATTCTTCATGTGCCTTGTAGTAGTTCTTTTGCGGATCAAAAAATTAGCCTTGGCCGATGCCCATCAACAATGGCGTTTTCTCTCCCTATTTTTCAACCAGATCAATTTTCCCATGTCCCTTGGCAACCTGCAACCAACGTTACTTCCTTCCAACTACATTACCAGTTCAACAATTAAACATTGTGCGATCTCAATACCCTTTATGCACAATTGGACGGTGAACTTAGTACAAAACTTCATAATGTTTGCAAGGATTTTTAAGTTACAGCATTTTACTACTTCTACTTTGAATGATGTTTTTACATATCTGGCTTTCCCTCACATTTCTCCAAACTTTGATCTTCGTTATTCTTTTGTTCTTGCCCACGTTGTTTTTCACCCTTAATACCACTGCCATTATTCCCGTGGAATCAATTGGCATCGCCTTACAAAAACAGGTGAGATGCTCTCACAACACGGATGGCAACACCTTGAAAAACCAATTTTGTTTTCCTTGCTTTATTGCTTTTGGCAACTCTCTCTCAACCATGCATATATAAACAACCTGGTTTTCCATTCGCTTCATTCTCTCGTTTTTCCAGTCTCACAGTGTGTAAAGGTTCCTGTCACTTTTACTTTTTCATTACCTCTCTGACATGGCAAATTTTGTATTCATCACTGAAATGGCCAGTTTCCAACAAGGGGACAGCCCATTCTACATCAAGCGCATTTCTCTCGCTCCTATCCATTCTGGACCACTGGTAAGTTTTACCTATGCAACAGATTTCTTCCTTGAACATAGTGATAGTGCATTTCACACATACACCACTCGGAATATTCACGGCATTACTCTGGATGAACCTGGCATCCCCTATGACCTTAGTGGTGACACAATTCACACAGCCCTTAAGCATTACATTTTTCCAGCCCTTGAGACTGCTACAAACCTATTCCACAGATCATGTTGGTCACTAAAGGACCGCGTGAGATTTCCGTATTGGAAAAACTAATTCTGCCAAGGACAGTCACAAGTAACAAACTGCGGTTTTTTGTTGAGATGATTCCATAAATTCTCAGGCTCAGACACAATGGCAATATGCCCTTTTTGTTCAGATTTTTTGGATGCCTTACTCTAAGAGGGACATGTCGACAACCACCGATTAACAACTATTAACGGATAGCAATACCCATTAACTATCTCTTGTACATCTATATACGTTCACTTTACTTTAAGTGACTTCAAGTAACACTCTCTTCCAACAGAATTATCAGGGTACTTTAACCCTGCCCAGTCTCTAAAAGCTGGAGTCAAAGCCCTTTCTGTAACTCTTAGTGAACACAGTAGCTTCACAAAGTGAAGATAAGTAAACCAGCAGGTGAAGGATCTCACATCAGCAATAAAACAGCACAGCAGCATTGCAGTATGGCCATTCATACCAGATGTTTTCTCATTCTTTGCCAATTTCTTTGTTTGTACTTATGCCTTGAAGGCATAGCCCAGGGCGTTTCCAAATGAATAACTTCAAAAGGGAGTAAAACTTAGTAATTAAGCCTCTGAAGGAATGGACCAGTACATTCTAAGATCTTTTTTGAATCTTGCAAGCTTTATTGGACTAAAAATATCCAGATTTATTTCTCTATTGATTGATTGATTTCATTTTTTCAATTTTACTTTTTTTGACGTTTGCTTACAATTGAGAATTTATTTAGTAGGTTTTTTATTGTCAATGGATGCTATCCACCACCTCTACAGGAAATTGAGATAATTCCCTAAATTCTCAGGCTTAGAAACCAGGCAATTTGCCCTTTTTGTTCAGATTTTTTGGATCCCTTACTCTAAGAGGGACATGTCAACAACTACCGATTATTAACCCAAGAAAGAGTCTCCACTTCAATTCAACAAATGTATCATATACTGATTTAAATTTGCAGGAATTTACACATTGTGCTTTCAAATTATGAATAATTACTCTTTTCTTCCATTACAGAAACAAATTATACATGTAGGGAGTTTCATACCCACAAAGTGTTCAAGCACTATCACATGGCAGAAACTAATTTTTATTATTCTACCCAACATGATGTTATTTTTGCATTTTGGGTAACCTATAAGTGCATTTCATTGATGGAAGAGGTTAGTTACGTCTTGGGTGATTCCTACAAGCATTTTCTTTTCAATCGCACATTTGGTTCTAAAACCGGCACAACAAATGGTGGAAAAGCTTGCAGACGCCTACAATGGATGTCAGCACACCAAAACACGCCCATGCAGACGCCAATGGACCAGATCATGCAGCTGCCCACAATGCAGCAGTCTATGCAGCCATTCATGCAGCGGCCCACAATGCAGCTGTCCTGGTTCTCAAACCGCCCAAAACATTCTTTCATTCATGCAGCGCCCCACAATGCAACTGCTTATGCAGTTTACCCCAGAGATTTACCAGTCCTTTACAATTCTGTGACAACATGGTGGCAATATGTTGCAGTGACAAATGGCTCCATGTGTAACGGCGAATTTTTGTAAAAATCTTAGTCTCCGCAAAATAACTTTAGTTGCTGCAACAAAAGTGAATTGGTGCGGCTTGCTGTGGTGACAAAATTCTGTTTCTAAGACAAACATTTGCCCATGAATTTACTAGTACACATACTGCGATGTGCAGTGCAAATTGTTGTAGCAACTCAGTTATTTTTTGATAGAGTTTAAGCCGTGTATATTAAGTCACTTTGCAAGTGATTTTCAAGGCAAATTTTAGAAAATGAGAATCTCATAATCTGTTTCTCACTAGCTTTCGAATGTAAAAAAAAATGCCACATTGTTTAAAATATTCTAGTACGAGGTTTTTGTCCACTGGTGGACTCCGTCTAAATAAGTTGTTCATAGCATGCAAAATTTTGTCAAAACATAAAGTGTAAATAAAACTTTAAGAGCTGATTATATACCAATCTATACCAAGGAAAATATTAAACCTTTCAAGAGAATATGCAGTTTGAAGTATCAATTTAGAAAATAAGATTCTCATAATTTATGTTGTTTCTCTCGAGCTGGTCTTTTCAAGTTTGCTCTTGAAGCTTTGCAAGTCAAACAGAATGGATGAATGATCGTTTGATTAGTAAAATTGCTTAGCAAGTTACTTATCTCTTCCATTGATTGATCACTTGATCACTGCTCTTAATTTGGTATTACGAAAGTATGAAGTTAGAAAATAAGATTGTCATAATAATGTTGTTCCTCTCGAGCTGGTCTATTGATTGATCACTTGAGAGGGTTAGCTTTTGTCTCCATTGTTGAAATAAGATGTCAGGTCACATGTGAAAAATGATGAAATCAAACCTTTGTGAATAAATTTGTGAAAGTCCGCCTTTTTGAGTTCTTGCTTCATAATAACTTCAATATTTCAGGATCGTTGTCAGAAAAAGATTTCCTTGGCTGAGTCCCAAGCAGTCAAGGACAGGGTGGTGAGGTACCAGAAAAAATGGTAACCCTATGCAAAGATGATGTGGGTTGAGGTAGAAAGGGCAAAAATAATCCCTATAACCTAGAGTCAAAGCCCTCACACTATGACGTTGTGGCTTCACTAGGTGAAGAAAACAAAACAAGCAGATAAAGGATCTGTCAGCAGCAGTGAAACTGAGAACGGCACATTGTCATTAATCTGTTGAATCAGAGGCTGCATAACAAGTAGTTAACTGTTGTCCTCAGTTAACACTGTGGCTTCATGAAGTGCAGATAAGTAAACAAGCAGGTGAAGGATCTCACATCAGCAATAAAACAGCACAGCAACATAGCAGTACGGCCATTCATACCAGATGTTTTCTCATTCTTTGCCAATTTGTTTGTTTGTACTTATGCCTTGAAGGCATAGGTCAAGGCGTTTCCAAATGAATAACTTCAAAAGGGAGTAAAACATAGTAATTAAGCCTCTGAAGGAATGGACCAGTACATTCCAAGATCTTTTTTGCATCTTGCATGCTTTATTGGACTAAAAATATCTTAGATTTATTTCTCTATTGATTGATTGATTTCATTTCTTCAATTTTACTTTTTTTGACGTTTGCTTGCACTTGTGAATTTATTTACTACTTATTTAGTGTCGATGGATGCTATCCACCACCTCTATAGGAAATTGACATAATTCTCTAAATTCTAAGGCTTAGAAACCATGGCAATTTGCCCTTTTTGTTTAGATTTTTTGATCCCTTACTCTAAGCAGAGGGACATGTCAACAACTACTGATCATTAACCCAAGAAAGATTCTCAACTTCAATTTAATAAATGTATCATATACTAATTTAATTTGCAAGAATTTACACATTGTGCTTTCAAATTATGAATAATTACTCTTTTCTTCCATTACAGAAACAAATTATACGTGTAGGGAGTTTCATACCCACAAAGTGTTCATGTACTATCACATGGCAGAAACTAATTTTTATTATAATACCCAACATGATGTTATTTTTGCATTTTGGGTAACCTATAAGTGCATTTCATTGATAGAAGAGGTTTGTTACGTCTTGGGTGATTCCTGCAAGCATTTTATTTTCAATCCCACATCGGGTTCTAAAACCGGCATAACAAATGGTGTAAAAGCTTGCGGACGCCTACAATGGATGTCAGCGCACCAAACACGCCCATGCAGCTGCCAATGGACCAGATCATGCAGCTGCCCACAATGCAGCAGTCTATGCACCCATTCATGCAGCC